TCGTCAACACATGTACTGAACACTTTTTTTTTTTTATTGATATTTAAAGCCCGGCGACTATGACCATTAGCTGATTGTAGGATTTTATGATTGTAGGTAGTAGGGTTTGTAATGGTAGAGTTTTTACACGTGTGTGTTATGTTTGGCAGAATTTTTGATTGGGCACCCATAGGTATCTGCCATGCCCGGGTGGGGGGTGGCGGCACTTTTTCTCCGGACAACCTTGACTTGTCCGAAGAAAAATGCTGCCAGTGTCCAAAGAATCGAACTCGGGTAGGCTGCGTCGCAGCCGACTCCTTAGTCCGCCCGGCCACTCCGACCCTTACTGAACACATTATTATATAACATTATCTACATTGAGATACGCTCAATAATGCCCAATGTTGATCGTTGTGGATAGTAAAAATGTCAGACTCTGTAATGAAATACAAAAGTTTGCCGGAAATAACTCACTATATATGAATCGACAGGCCAAACACTCTTCTAAATCGCATTTCAGATGCATTCTAACATGTGATTTTAGGGTACCTAACTTGAGAATTCATTATTATTATGTCCATGGTTAACCGAGATCAAAAAGAATGTGTCCGAGCAAATTCCAGACAAGATTATTATATAACACTAGTTGACCAGTTATGTTGGATATGGTACCACCAATCTAAAATCGCAGTGGGAACATTTAACTATAATTTATTATAAATGTAAGCAACATACAAATTTTAAACACAGCGACAATATCATGATTTTATCATGATTTTTTTACGTTAATAACGTACGTGTAAATATAATTAATAGAATAAACAAAACAAAAACTCATTTCGAGAAATCAAAATTATTACACTATGAAGTATAATTTATATTATAAGAAATATTTAACGCTAAACTTATTAGTTAGTGCTCCTAACATTTTAACAACCAGTTAATTTAACTATGGATAAGCCCTCGTACAAATATAATAATAAAATACTGTTATACAAATAATTTTTTATCAGAAGTTGCATAGCAAAATAAAACAAATAGTATATTGATGAAATAGTATTTGATAAAATCCATAATATGGCTTAAATTTTTTTGAAACGCAGTGAGTTCGCTTGTTTTAATAACTTGTATTTAATATTTCAGAAAGCTTTTATCCCAAATGTAAACAAATAATGAGAATTCATATGCCGAAAACGGTTGCAATTAATATTTAATCGGACTTATCATAATTGTTTTCTCCTTGTTCAAAAAGTTAAGTTCAATGTATTTATAACAACGAAATAGTTATTCGTTAATTCCACATTAAAGTTGCTTGTAATTTGTAAATAACGGGTTATATTATACCTAATAATTAATATTGAACTTTTATTTTAGCTATTAATTTATTAATTACTTACAACATTTTATTTACGTTGTTTTTAGATACCTACTCGAGCATTAAACTTTTATTACTCTATAGTAAAAATATAATAAACAATTCATTAATAATGAGACACCTATAGTGGCGGGGTGGTAAGGTGTAATAGAGATGCGGCCGCCTCCGAGTTTTTTAAGGATGGGTGGGTAATGGCCAATGGGTAATAATTTAGTATTAACTGGTGTTTTAGTATTCACTTCGACAGGTAGCTCAAAATATGACAGTAAATACCTTTATTGGGTTTCGGGTGGGACTTGCCTATGAAAAATATCATGTTCACATAGCACGGAGAAAAGTCATAGGCGTATAACAATATAATTATATATCATACAGCATTTGAATCGTGATAATAATAATTGTTATAGTGTTTGTACAAAATATAATATAACACGGCAGTATGTCTTTTATTTTATATATTATTATGTAGGTACTCTTCATTGTATTTATTTCTGCAAGAAAATAATAAGTCCATAGAGTAATACTGCGCTATAATACAGACATTCATATTACTTTGTTATAATTGTCTTGACGTATAAAAATTAATTATTAATAAATAGTTATTTTTTCTTTTCATATCACAGACTATAATATATTCATAACTTCATAACTTTAAAGGGTCTAACAAAATTAAAAATTATTTATTAAAACGTTTGCGGATCAAGTATGAAAGTACGTTTTATAATTTCATTGCCATGCCAATATTTTAATATGTGCAAAAGACATATTAGCATGATTATTTTTAATTTCTACAATGACTCGTATACAAATCTAAATATTATTTTGTTTTTATGTTCCCAAATACGTGTTTTTGTGAGATAAAATGTAAATATTTGTTTTCATAAATGGGCGTTTGGTTGTTATAACATATTATTTAAATTATTTAGTACTGCATTTTCAGTTTTGGATTAGGAAAACACAACTTTCTTATATTAACTGATATTGTATATTCACATAATTTATTTACATAAAATATTCAGAAAATAAGGATTACTAATATTTATCTGTTTGAAGTTAATAGTCACCTGGTACATACAAGCACGCATCATTATAAAAATATAAATAACTATATAATATATACAAATGTTTAATTATTAGACTAAATTGGTTTTATTGAATTCGTATAATAATATAAAATGTCTTAGTAGGACCGAAAGAGCGGATTAAATTGTAATGTTTAGACCTACCCTATTGTTGTAATACCTATTTCTGTATAGTTGTTTTAATCTCATTAGGTTATTAATGAACCCTACACCTAAATATAAGCCGTCGATACAATATGTGGATTACATAGGTACAATAATGGTGAATTTGATATACGAGAAGGTACACTGTTCATTGAAATAATATGCGATTAAATGGAAAGTTATTTTAAATCTTTGTTCATTGATTGTAATTATATAATGTATATTTTTTACATAGGTACAACTTCGTCAAAGAACAATATATTTATACTTTTATTTTTATTTTAATATTAGGAACCGGTGGACCGTTTGATTATCTTATTAGTCTTTCACCTCGCAATTCTCAATTGATAATCCCCGAGGTTAGGTTAGGAGTGTTTAAATACGATGACACTATCGCACACTATTAGAGTATACGAGTGAGCATAATGAAGCCGAGTGTTTTGTGAATATAAAATAAATAAAGCTCGAAATCAAATGAAATAAAAACATAAAATATCTAGTTTTCTCGTTCCGACCCTTATCGGAAGATCATCGTCCATAACTTTATAACTGGAGACAGCTATATAGCCGGTAATACTACATCCCTCGACGGTAGAAAAGTTGAAAACTTATAAAGAACACAGTTCAAATAACACGAGGAGTGAGTTAACCAACTGGAAAAACTTTATGAGAATAAATCGGACGGGGCACAATAAATAAAAACTACCTGCAAACATACTCACGAGTATACCCGGGTTGAGTGTTTTCTGACGTATTATTTAACAATTACATAATATTGTTAAATACAAGCAGCTGGAGTTGTTATTGATAATCGTACTATTCATACGAATAAAAATATATAGGTAACCGATTGACTATTATAATAATATATATAACCGCGGTAGAATAACTAAAATAATATTTTCTGTACTTACCGAATTTATGTTGCTTTTTGGCCAATAATATTATATTATGACGAGTATGTTAACCTAAATAATAACGAAGAATGACAGTGTATTTCTTATTTATACTCTCCGCGGTAGTCGTAATAAGTAATAGTAGGTGGGTATGTCCTTTGATGATTTTAATATTACCATATACCCATTACAGCTTACAGATTCATGATGATGGTATTCCCGGTATATTTTAAATACCGAAATTATCATCGGTATTATATCACGTACCATTCCTATAATAAACCAGAAATTTCATCTGGGACCATATAATAATAACGGTTTTAAAGTTACGACGGCCTTAAAAGGCTTATCGTCCGAATGTCGTCTGATGGTTTTATAGATCGATTGAGTGGCTTATGCATAAATTATTCAACAATTTTCCGCACTCCCGCGTCATGGTATGAACATTCAAAACATTTATATAATGTAAATGTTATGCTAAGGGGCTTTTCCCCTTTTTGTTTCACACGCCAACCCCGTGTCGGTCAACGACAACCCCCCTGGGGGCATTGTCATCGTGACCCAACAGTGACCCCTTTGCATCTGAAAAATTAATATCTGTACTTACCTAATTTAAAATATTTAAAAACAGAATATGCGAATGATATAATACACAACATTTAAAATTTGACAGAGGTAATATTCCTATTATATTATAAAGCATTGCTTGAAATCGTAATCTAAATAAATATCGATAACAATTAAAAAAAAATTCAAAAGTAATTATATCGAAATTATTTTCAACGTTATTCAAATTTATATTGAAATTAAAAAAAAAAATGTATCTATACCTTATATCAAAGTAATAAACGTTCATCAATTTTAAATTAAAAAAAAAAAAAATTAAAATTTGACAATAGTCAACAAGTCTATAATATTTTTCATTAGCTAGTAGGTCATACTCATAATTAATAACTACTTACCTAATATTACATTTTATTATGCATGTTTCACAGCATCGCTTTGTAGCGCGTGAAGGACGGACCTACACGTATAGCTCGTACGTTAAAATAAAAATATAAAAGTGATATTTTAAATCAAAATAAAATTAAAATTACTTTTAAGATCAGAAAACAATTAAATCTATATTGTACATATAAAAATCATAAAATCAATATTATAATATATTATAAGAAAATATAATATCAGAAAAAAGCTAATATGGATTAGTAAAATTAGGATTAAAATTGAAAAATGTCATTATAATATTATAAAGACAATAACACCGAAACATTTTTGAACCACCCTGTATAATATATCTTCGACCAAGTTCAACCCATCATTTTTATTTATAGCAATTAATGTAATGTTATAACTTACGACATGACTGGAAAATGAAATGATTTTTTTGGAATTTTTTTTCGTTTTCAGCACCGCACGTCGTTCTCAAAGTTCAACGTGAACAGCTGCCTGGAACCGTCGGCCATTTTCCAGACGATACAGCCGACTCACCGGGCCCTGCAAATTCGGCCACGGCAGAACTCCATGTTCGCGGGCGGCGGCGCTTTGCCGGGGGCGTGTGGCCCGTCGCAACTGGCCGGCCACTGCACGCTGATGGCCGGTCGGCCGCGCAAGGCCAAGTCAGCGGCAGACATCAAGTCACTAGTTCAGCACGAGTGTGGCCCCGCCCGGACCAGCCGATCCATGTTGCCGATGACGGTGGGCGCGGCCGCAGTGGCCGCGGTGGCCGAGCGCCGGGTGTCGTGCGCCGCGCCCACGACCACGTCGTCGTTTGGCGGTTACGGTTGCGGTAGTGGCGTCGGCGGCGGCGGCGGTCACGGTTATGGTTCGCTGTCCGTGGCCACGGTCAAGGAACGCCGGTCGTGCAGCCTGTTCCCGTCGCCAGCGTCCGACAAACGGTTCTTCTCGTCGTCGTCGTCCACCAACACACCACCGGCCCCATGCCTGTGTGACGTACCGTTCGGCCAACCGTCGTCGTCGTGGGCGTCCGCCAAACGCGATTTCCTCATGACGCCGTCCACGTCGCTGGGTGGCGGTTCCGGGTTCAGCGGCGGCGGCGCCGGTGGCCGGCGGACGTCCTGCGGCATGGACCACCTGTGCCCGACGTCCATAACGCTAAAGGACCGCCGGCCGTCGTTCAACAACGTCATCGCTCAGGTGACAGCCGAACGGCGCCCGTCGTCCAGCATGCTCAGGATCAGCAACGTTTAATTAATGCGGCACGGCGCAGTGTTCATGCAGCAGCTGCATTTGTTGCGGTTTGCAAAATTATATTTCGATTTATAACTATTATAAATTATTGTTGTTGTTATCCGACCGTCCACGAAATGTATAATATTATATTATTATTACTACGATGCAGGTCGAGTCTTGAAAACTCCAATTTTCTTTCCATAGAAGAGATTCCCACACTCTCTGGGTGCTGTACAATATAACTCGAAATTATATTTTTCAACACACTCGAAATTCTCGAGACTCGACCGTTCGTAAATGTTGTATATAATATATACTATCATATATATAATATACGGGTTTCATTTTTAAAGATAAGTCTACGAGACACGTGTTCGTTCTATGGGTTAAACAGTAGCTATATTATAATATTATATACTTCGATTTAATATAAATTAAAATATTGTAAGTGCATATAATATCAAATTATTATTAAGTTATGTTGTACCTTTAATAACATATTTAATATTATTATTATGCCGAGATAAGTCTTTTCAGAGAATTACTCAAAATTTGCCTATTTAGAATATTTTTGATAGTTTTAGTATGTGATTGTGATTGTGATTAGTGTTACTTTCAACTATAATATTTGTATGAGAAATTGAGATAATTTTAAAAAGCACTGACAATTCTTCAAACAGTAAGGCCGCCGTTGTACTTACAGCATCTTTAAAGGTTTTATGATAACGGACTTTGCAGCCTTCATAAATAACAAGCTGCTTCGATTTCGAACTTTCAACAAATTCCATGATCACACTAGTAGGTACACAGCTGAATTCGTGAATATAATATAATATGGAATATTCATATTTTTTTTCTTTATCAGTTTATAAAAGTTTCAAGATAAAAAACGTTGCACGAGTTCGCAACTCATACGTCCATCGAAAACTAACGTGTCTCAATTCGCCGGTTTCCGATATCGTACTATAAACAACGCCTCGGGCCGCCCTGGACCTACAGCCATTCAAATTATGATTTTTGGAATTTTGAGATATTTATATACCAATTAAATATGTGCCTATACCTAGGTATATTATATCTATAGTTATATCAAAGTCCAGAGATAATTTTTTAAGTTACAATTGTTCAAGATTTTGTTTGGATATATATTCAATATACAGAATGTAATTAACTCATAATGGATTTAGAACTATATAGGTACATACTATCGTAATATTTTGAATAACAATCATATATTGGTACAAGTATTTACGTCGATGGGTGACAGTGTGCAGTCTGATGATCTCCAGCGGAACGATATTGTATAGGTACCCACATAATATTAAATTTCCGAGCTTAATCATTTCCGATCTGAGGAAACGTCTCCTTGTCAGTCTCCCGAAGATTACGTGCAGGAGGTGGTGTGTCAAATCAAGACACACATCGTGTCACCTACATTATTCACAGGTTCCTTGTTGTAGAATAATAAAGTTGTTATTAATTTGCATCTACTATCGTTATCGGAGTTATTTAGAATGTGTTGTATTTACATAATATATTATTATTATGATTTCTATTTTAGTGGGTATATTTATCATATGCTATAAAAAATAAAATGTAATGAATTTATAATTTAACCATATACTTGGGTGGAGGAGGGAGGGCGATATCGAAGCACAAACATAATATCCCGCATTTATATAAAAAAAATTATTATTTTCAAACCCTCGATTGAATGCGTTAAAAAAAAGAGACATGCCTTCCCACAATAACTACATCCAGTAAAAAAAACCCATTAATTACCAATTCCAATATCCAGTATCCTACTAAATATTATAAATTATTGCACAAGCGTGTAGTTTGAAACCCTGAATAGTGTCACATCTAATAGTAATAGATACGGGAAACGTTTCCGGCCACAGTTTTCAATGCTCACCCCAAGTTTTCACGGTCTACTCGTTTTGTTAACGGCTAAGTTACACGCTATATTATATTATATAGTCATCGAATACATTTGTTCGACTTATTTGATTTTAATTCGTGTCAAACGATAACTGTGGTAGAAACGATTTAATATATTATTTTGTTTTTTTTTTCTCTAATTAATGTGTTCCAGTTAGTAGCCTTAACTATTTGCGAGAGAATAAAGTAACAATATAATATTATTATAACGGTATTAAAAAATTAAAAAAATGTGTAACTCTCAATTTGACTACACTAAAAACTTTATTTTCTTACATAGGTAATATTGAATTTCAATATCATAACATAATGTTAAATAGTAGTTATATCAATGACGTGATCACACGATAGGTGTAGTTGTATAGGAATGTTTTCGGTTTGTGTTGTTGATGATTCGGATTGGTGAGCACGCGTCCACGAGAGTTCAGCCGATGATGATAAAATCAATCTCTTAAATCGTATGGTTTCACCGCAAAGACGATACGACATAATAAACCTACCTATCAATGAATACGGTTTCCGACAAATATTCCAAACACGATTATCTGTGATGATAACAAATCAGTACGATGGTTTCCGCTTATATTATATTATTATTTATTATGGACCGTTTGTTATCCTACCTTGGAGGGATGGTAGGATTTTGATATGAACCCAAAACGTTCTCCGTCACCTCTAGTCGAGGCCTAAACAATACGGTGGAGATAAAATATTATAATATTAATCATCATAAAACGTTATCTTCGAAATTCACTTCGTAGTGGACCGCGCAGATAACGTTTACCGAAAACAATAATACTATTAAATAAACCCAGTGCACCGGACTATTGACGAGATTTATGCCTTATTACGCATTAATAATACGAAATGACGATAGTAATAATATTAGTTATTATATTCAGAACAACAACTATACAGCTGGTATCAAAATCAAATTTAGGTGCGTTAGTTCGGGGTTTTAAACGAAACAATTAGTATAATATTAACTATACGTGTTTGTGATACCTAAAATATATAAGATAATAAATAATAATAGTATTTATTTACAATTTTTTAATTATTACATCATTTGGCTGAGTAAAAATATGATATACTTGATATAAGTAGTAGTGTGCGGTGTAGGTTCATTACAAAATAATATAGTTTTCAATAATTATTTACCTTCTTCGTCCATCACAACGCTGTGTAAAAATATCACACAGAAGCGTTATATATCAATGAATAAGGTCAATATTTTAATATTATTATCGTTTCATTAAAAACCATATTTTGTATTCTTTTGTATGTCTTGAGTAATCGGTGTTATCGCGGTGACACGATCTACTTTTATTACCACTCCATTACACTTCGACACTATACAATACAATATTATTTCTTAATGTTATGTATACGTTTGACCAAAGTCGTAAGTTTCTTTGTGATCAAAACGCCATTATTAAAAAACACAGCGACGTTCGCGGGACGGTTGAGGCTATGCGATTATTTTTTATAATTTTTTTAAATCTAGTGCGTTTTGTCTCTACGTTTTTAAAACTCATTACCATAGTTCCATAGTTAAATAATATTCAACCGGTGTGAGTACATTTTTCTCTCATAACGGCCTACGAGGAGACTACATAATTGACGAGCGCGATACTATAATGTATAAGTATTATACAGGATGATTTACTAAGTGTACTCCCCCCCGTTTTTGCTTCAATAGTGCAGTTGTTCAAAATGTGATTTTTGGAAATTTTTAATATACCCAACTACTTTGGGAGTGTCTTGTAGAGATACAAACTTCTGGTTTTCACTTTTTCAACTATAGATTAATTAGCGGATAATTTTTCTGAAATTGTTGTATCATAATCAAAGATCAGACGAGTAGTTTTGAGTTATTTAACTGTATGCTGTATGGATGAAACGTTCATGATATTGGCTTTGAAAAATATGAGGGCTATTGGAAAATTGTAGTAAATTATATTAACCTATTAATATTTATAATGTATAAAATTAATTAAGTGTAATATTTTAAATACTTGATCCAATATTACATCTATTTTATATTTTTATAAGACCATTGTTAAGGACTTTAACCCTTAGTATACATATTTGGATAACTGGGAAATTCCCCGTTAGAATTTTTGCTTCTTACATCTTCTAAAGTACCTACATCAATATTTTCAAAATAATTATCTATGCACTAAATAATTTGTTGTAAGATACGAGATTGTCAATTGATAAATATAAGTTTGTATCACCAGTCACCACAGGACACTCATAGACAGTACAAAAGATCTCAAGAATTTGATAATATGATTAGGTATTAATCATTATATTTAAAAAATACCAACAATAATTATTTGATTAAATTCAAAAAGATATAATGCTTAAGCGGTTAAGGTAAAATGTCATCAACATAATATATACTTGGTTAATCATCCTGTATACATATCCGTTTATCACTGTATAATATTATTACGACGTGGTGCAGTCTAACCACGCGGAATATGTTTTTTTTTCTCAAATTCATTCCCCGAGTGAAAACCCTTCGTTCAATAATAATAATACATAGGAGAGAGACAATAGTGAAGGAGAATATTAATTGTCAACACTCAGTTAGAGCTGTATACCAAAGCTCTACGGCATGACGAGTTTCGTTTTAATTGATTTTATTTTTTACCCAGCATCATAATAATAATGTAATGTACATTTTTTTCATAAGGGTCTGAATTTCACGTTTTTTTCGTTTTTTAATTATGCACCTTCCCTCTAAAAATCCAGCATGAGGGGCATAATAATTTAACGTACGGTAGTGCAGAGCAAAAAGTGACGCGAACAGACTAATGCTTTTTAAATGTTCTCTATCGGAGTGTGGAACGATAAAATAAGTACTATAAGATTAGACATTTGAAAAAAAAACTTACTCTTATGTCGTTTAACTGGTAATCATATATAGATAAAATTTAACCATCGGGAAGAAAACAATAAATTGAGGGAACTCCCAAGTTGTATCCCGTATAGTAATACTTAATGATTTCGATTCGATTGACTTTTAATGCGTAATTTAAGTAATGTGTTTCAAAACGTGGTTATAT